TATAGGGCATATCTCCTGAGGCAGGAATTTTTTTTTTTTTCAAAAAAAAAAAAAAAAAAAAAAAGAACTGCCAAGGGTCGGTTAGCACTGAGTGGCCAAGGAGAGGCCATTGAAGATGCAGCCTCGGTTGGAATGGATTGGAAAGGTCAGAGAAGCCGAGGCTTGGCACCTTGTGGCAAGGCTGGTGTCCCCGCAGAGGTCATGGGACCACTAGGGAAGTTGCATCTTTGGTAGCACTGGGGGCCGACACCTTGATATCTGACCACGGAGGTGAATGCAAAATACAAGTAGATGTGGAGTGGAGCTGAACTGAGTTTACAAATGTGTACGCACGGGAAGGGGAGATGAAGAACTGCCAAAACCTTTCAGATCCTGAATGAATCAGATATCAGACAACTGGAGCTCTACAGCTGGATACTGAGTAGTTTAACGTGACACGAAGCGCATTTTTGTAAAGTTTACCGTGGATCTTGCTTATGGTTAATACAAGCAAAATCTCCTGGGAATAAAAGACTTCTGTTTGACAATACAAAGGGACATATCTAGCACCAAACAAGGTGTAGACAAAGAAAGCAGGAAAACTGAATCACTCTGCCCCAGTTTTACCCCAAGGCGTCTGTTTGCAGCGATCTTCGACCTGGGGGAGGGGGGATGGAGTAATTATTAAAACTACCCGTAAAAGAAGTACAGCTCTCTTGCTCGAATAGATAGGTGGCTCTGAAAAGAGCCTTTGACATAACAAGATAGGCGCCCTCACTTGGAGCTGGTGTACTTGGTGACGGCCTTGGTGCCCTCGGACACGGCGTGCTTGGCCAGCTCCCCGGGCAGCAGCAGGCGCACGGCCGTCTGGATCTCCCGGGACGTGATGGTCGAGCGCTTGTTGTAATGCGCCAGGCGCGAAGCCTCGCCCGCGATGCGCTCGAAGATGTCGTTGACGAACGAGTTCATGATGCCCATGGCCTTGGAAGAGATGCCGGTGTCGGGGTGGACCTGCTTCAGCACCTTGTACACGTACACAGAGTAGCTCTCCTTGCGGCTGCGCTTGCGCTTCTTGCCGTCCTTCTTCTGGGCCTTAGTCACGGCCTTCTTGGAGCCCTTCTTCGGGGCGGGCGCGGATTTCGCAGGATCAGGCATATTGACGCACTACAGGAATACTAATACTGAGCCTGCTGGCCTGTCCATTTTAAGAAGTGATTATTTAAATAAGGTTTAGAAAAACAGACTTCTGAGTGGGTGAAATTTCAATGATGTCATCTTGAGTAGTGCCCAATAGAAATACGCGATGGCAGAAACGTTTCCCATTGGTCTAAATAAAAAAAAAAAAGAAGACAGCCAATTGGAAGGGTTCTTTTTCGTTCCCAGAGAAAACTATAAAGCTCAAGCTCTTGCCACTTTCATCTACACAGCTGCTAAAGGCTACTATATTTGCGAGATGTCTGGACGCGGCAAACAGGGCGGCAAGGCTCGCGCCAAGGCCAAGACCCGCTCCTCCCGGGCCGGCCTGCAGTTCCCCGTGGGCCGCGTTCACCGCCTCCTCCGCAAGGGCAACTACGCCGAGCGGGTGGGCGCCGGCGCCCCGGTGTACCTGGCGGCCGTGCTGGAGTACCTGACGGCCGAGATCCTGGAGCTGGCTGGCAACGCGGCCCGCGACAACAAGAAGACGCGCATCATCCCGCGCCACCTGCAGCTGGCCATCCGCAACGACGAGGAGCTCAACAAGCTGCTGGGCCGCGTGACGATCGCGCAGGGCGGCGTCCTGCCCAACATCCAGGCGGTGCTGCTGCCCAAGAAGACCGAGAGCAGCCACAAGGCCAAGGGGAAATAACTTCCTTTGTTTAGTTCTAACGCAAATCTAAGGCTCTTTTCAGAGCCACCACATTTTCTAAAAAGAGGCTTGACATCTACCTTTGTCATCAAGTGGAACACAGATATGCGGAAACAAACACCACCGTTATACTCTCAGCAAACTAGGTTCAGTAAATTAGTTGGAACACTTTCGGTCCCCTATTTGTGTCCGGACTCGTCTCGTGGCTTTCAAGTACCAATGTTGCGGGCATAATAACAGGATTAGAGGTGAAACCTGCCAGTCTGGTTCCCAGGGCAGTGCACAAAGCTTACTCCTATCTAAAGTCTATAAGGGTACAGTTTCCGAAGGTAGGGCACTCGGTGTTTCGGATTTGGCGGTCTATGCCTAAAGACTCACTAGTTCACGCTAGGGTCAGGCTTTTGGTTTCCTTATATGTCACGGAGAGGTCTGCGTGGCTATATCCTCGGCAAGTAATAGTCTGTGAAACCACCTACCTCCACCTCCATTGTGAGATTTATGCCTTGACAAGGAGATTTATGTAAACTTAAGGCAGTGGTGGCACATGCCCTTTTAATCTCAGCTCATGGGAGGCAGAGACACGCGGAGGACAAGCTGGTCTACTGAGTTCTAGGATAATCAGAAATAGAGAAACGGTCTCGGAGGACGAGGCCGGGGGCGGGAGGGGCCGCGGACAGGTTAAATATATTATAAAATCGAAAATTTGATTTCCCTGAAACTTCTAATTGAAATTTCTTCAGCATTTATCTGAATCTGTTATCACAAAAATATAATTTCGCTTTACTTCTCCATACTTAAATTATTTTAAAATCTGTCTGACTTAGAATGTATAAAACCATGTGTTGTGCTTTAATACTATCATTCGCGAAGAGAGCCAGGCAGATTTCAGAGTTCGAGACCAGCCTGTTCTACACAGCAATTAACACGTGAAATACATTAAGGAAACTCTCAAAATAAGAGTGAAAAATAGTAATGACAGCAGTTTAAATAATTCCCTTACTAAAACATTTAAAGAATTTTAGCTGCGTGGCTCAATTAGTGATTTTTTTTCGCACTTTGATTCATTAAAAGGTATTCCAAGTTAAATAGCATCGTCCCATACAAAAGGCTAAAAGGAAAAACGTAAATGTAAATAACAGAATTTGCTTCCTTTCCATGTATATCCTATACCGCTAAATTTTTCTTGTTTAAGGATTGGGCAGGAATCACATTAGAGGGTGAAATACAGACTTTGTTTTTAAATGAAGTAAAATAGAATTGAAAAGGCCGCGGGACTCCTATGCTGCTGAGGGCCCCTCCTCCAGCCGCAGGCACTTCCGCCTGGAGCTTCCTGTTTTCACTCCGGTCCGCACATTCCCTATAAGAGAGCCCTGCTGGCCTGTGCACGTCGTCAGTCGGGTTTTCTTTCTCTGGCTTAGCAATGTCTGGTCGCGGCAAGGGCGGGAAAGGCCTAGGCAAAGGCGGCGCCAAGCGCCACCGCAAGGTCCTGCGCGACAACATCCAGGGCATCACCAAGCCCGCCATCCGCCGCCTGGCCCGGCGCGGAGGAGTCAAGCGCATCTCCGGCCTCATCTACGAGGAGACCCGCGGGGTGCTGAAGGTGTTCCTGGAGAACGTGATCCGCGACGCCGTCACCTACACGGAGCACGCCAAGCGCAAGACCGTCACGGCCATGGACGTGGTCTACGCGCTCAAGCGCCAGGGCCGCACCCTCTACGGCTTCGGCGGTTGAGTTGCCAGAGGGTTCAACACTATTATTACACAAAGGCCCTTTTTAGGGCCACCACGCAATCAACAAAGGAGCTTGACTCGTTAGATTTATTTATAGGAGGCTTTAGGAACTGGAGCCTTTGAGCTGGGTTTTGGGATCGAGGCCCAACTCTGCCTTTCCAGAACCCGACTCAGTTTGGGGGGGGTCCGCGGGTTTTCGTAAACTAAAGATTTAAATGCGTGCAGCAAGCTATAGGCCTCAAGTCTAAAACTTCACTTGCTTTCATTCCCTTAAAAACTATGTTTAGCTGTAGTTTAAATCCTCAAGGATTACAATGTAAGAGGAAGATAACTGAAGTGTGTTAAGATTTTCCTATGGTTTATTACGCTGAAACGATAAAGGAACAGCCATTTCATTACCAGGTCATAACTATGCTGGGTTTCGATCATTTTCGTTTGGTCGTGGATTTGTCGGGCTGGACCTTCAGTCTGTGGTGTTTTGTACAGATTTAGATCAGAAGTATTTCATCTTAAGCAGTCCCTTCTTCCAGGCCGTCCTAAAATTTGTAATCTTGATTTTTGCTTCCAGAGTAATTGAGATTACAAAAGAAAATATCACCAATATCAACAGGCTGTGGTGGCGCTTGCTTATAATCTCAGCAAGAAGAGGCAGGGGAAGCTTTTGGATTCGAAGCCAACCAGTCCGGTCTACAGAGCGAGTTCTAGGACAGCCGAGGCTATACAGAGAAACCCTGTCTCAAAAGAAAAAAAGGAGATGAGATTATAGGGGCCTGGATACCGCCATATGTATATGTCAATATTAACCTCCCAATAACAACCCACCGAGAGCTGGTAGTGGCAGTAGTCCTAGAATGGCGAACGTAGGACCATTGGCAGCTACCGAGCCAATTGAAATCGGTTTGGTTTTGTTAAATCTTTGAGAGTTGTGAGTAGCGTACCTGAGACATTTTTATTCTTTATATTTAATTCTTAAAGAACAAACACTTTAATGTCCTCTAGCTCTTTTTTCATGTTCAAGCCCATTTCACTGACCACACGCATCCCTTAGGAAAGGAGCTGGTGATTTCAGAAGGATCATTAATCCTGCCCCAGCATTGTAAGGTTATTCCTGCTATTTGAATGTCAAATAATAATAGGCATATGAGTTTTTGTTGTTTGATTTTGCTTTCTTTGAGAGAGGGTCTCACTGTGTAGACCAGGCTGGTCTCAAACTCACAAAGATCCACCTGCATCTATCTCCCACCCAAGCAGAGATTAAAGGTGTGTGTCACCATGCCTGGCATATGTGGCTGTACCAACAACCTGGCACATGACAGGGGAAGTGAACGCTTGTTTTATTTTATTTAGGTTTCCCTCAATGGATTCATTCAATTATGAGATTGACATTAATTACGCATAGAACAATTTAGGTATATAATATAATCTGAATCCTTTTGGATGAGATTTCAACTCAAACTGGGTTTGCACCTTTAATTCCAGCAGAGGCAAACTGGTCTACATAACTCCAAAGGCCAGCACAGTATACATGGTGAGACCTTGTTTCAAACAAAAAACATCTGTAATTGAAATACAGGTGAAGACATTTGATGTATAATACAGAATCTAGATCTCAAGCACTTAAACACACACACGGTCTACTTAAATGTCTTACATACTGAAACCATTTTTACATAGTGGATCATATGGAACATATTAAAATTAATGTCACTTCTTACCTTATTAAAAATGTGCTTGATAGCGAAGTGAAAACTATATTTATGCTGTCGCTCTCTTGAGCAGTAAACTTAGAGTAAAAAAAAAACTGGGTTTATGCTTTCAGATGCAAATAGAGGAATATATTCATAGAAAATCTTAGGAGAATGAACAAATTTCATTTTTCCCCATTACATTTTCCAAAGACGATTAATCTCGGGTCGAGGCAGGACAGGGAAATGGAACATTACAGGGACGGGGACTGGCAAAGAGCGACACCCTTAATCAGATGAAAATTTCAATTTAGCAACTTTCGCCTTTCTCCCATCCATCGCAGGGTGTTAAATTTGCAGTTTTCTAGGAAATCTCACCAGAAACTTCATCTTGAAAGTGTGTGTGTGTGTTGAGGGGAAGGGAGTTATGATTTACAGCGCAAGAGGGACCTTGGTGGGGGGGGGGGGTCCCATGATGGGTAGGGGACCGCGGTGGGTAAGGGACAGACAGATACACCATGCAGAGAGAACTTGGGTATGGGGAGTTTATTTAGTGGATTTAGTGAGTATTGGGAGGGCTGTCGTAGGGGGAGGAGTACGGGGAGGGGGGGGGAGAGAAAAAGAGGAACGGGAGGTGGGGTTAGGGAAAGGAAAGAGAGACAGAAAGCTTCCTCTCAAGAAGAATGGGATGGAGAAAGAAAGAGAAGACTGGAGACCAGTATAAAAATACAATTAAAATCTTGTTTTGTCCAAAGTTAAGTGGAACTAATAATGACTAAAGAGGCAGGAAATATGAGAGGTATATATTTTATATGTTTTATATATACGTTATATAAATACACACACACACACACACACATCATGTAATCATAAGGGAGAAGGGTGCCGTTGGCCATGCCAGAGAGAGGAGCAGCGAGTTGCAATTGGAGTTCCAGCTGTCAGCCCCCCAGAAGGGAATCCTCTGATGGGCCAATCTCTTTTAGTCAAGGCCATGGGACTGCAGCACCTGGAATGTCTTTTGCTTCTGTTGTGCCTTTATCTCTTGGAAACATCCCATCCTACTGGGCATTTTTACCTGGGGATTGTAAAGATGACCCATCCCTAAGCAGTACTGTCTAATTTGATAATAATGCTAGCTTATACAGAGTTTGTTGTTGTTGTTGTTGTTGTTGTTGTTGTTGTTTTTCCTTTTTTTGGTTTTTTTCGAGGCAGAGTTTCTTTGTGGCTTTGGAGCCTATCCTGGAACTAGCTCTGTAGACCAGGCTGGTCTCGAACTCACAGAGATCCGCCTGCCTCTGCCTCCCAAGTGCTGGGATTAAAGGCGTGCGCCACCATCGCCCGGCACTTATACAGAGTTTTGATGAATAGAAATGAATACAAGGACATGTTTCACAGTGAGTCTCATCTAAGGAGCTGCATGGATTGTAGCTCAAGTTAATGACTAACAATTGTGTCCCAGTAGCCCAGCTGGTTTAAATTCTTTTAACCTTATTGTTGGGAGATGTGTTCACAGAGTGCATCACAGCTGAAACAAAGCTTTGAAAATAACAAAGTTAGACTAAGATGTTTTTGTTAAATAACTTTGAGGTGAAAAATCCAAGAAGACAATCTAACGTTTTAGAAAGGGACATAGTTGATCTAACGTTTTAGAAAGGGACATAGTTGAATGTGGAACTCTTTTAAGGACAGAGAACAAGAACAAAGCAGCCTAAGTATGAACTCTCCTTGCTAGGTTTGGTTGATGACCAAAGGTGATGATTAATTCCTTATACCCATTTCTGCCCTCAATTTCCTACTAATGAACAGATATATACCATAAAGATTTAAGTAGAGCTGACTGATTCTTTTTTGTAAATAAAAGTTTAGGTTTGTGATTCCTTTAAAATTCCTTACAAGATTAACTTCCAAGATAAGTAATAAAGTAGTTGGCCCTTTTTCTGTAACTGCAAAATGCAGCCTGCCAGCAAAAGACCTGACGAGAACACCTTGCTCGCCCACACGACGAATCTATAACAAGTTGCTTGGGTTTGAATGTATGTGGGTTCTTGGGATAATTTGTTTTTCACCTGTAATACATAAAATGTTTAATCATGTGAGGGAGATGAGAAACATGTTTTACCTGTAATCATCCACTTGACAAATGGAATGCAACTCTTTCGACTCTTGTACTGCCTGGAAGATTCTGTTGGGGTATAAAAGCTGTAAAACAACATGAGATAGAGGACAGAGAATAAAGAGAGGAAAAAAGAAGAAAGACGGAAACCATCAAGAGAGTTTGTGAGTGCCTTTTTCCCTAACCCCCCTTAGCTTTGCCAACCCATGGCTTCCTGTCAAAGCCCTGTGCTGCTGAAGGCTGGCCCACCAGACAGCAGTAGAAGGGTGTCCTGGAATTTTCTCCAGCTTTTCATAGTTCTGTGCAAAATTATTTAAGGTCTGTGCATCAGTTTTGCTATTTATGAAAGAACATTTGTAGGGATAGCCCAGCCCATTGGGGGGCGTGTTCGCCTTGAGCTAATGTTTACGTATAAATCTGTCGGGCGTGAGCCCTGCCGGTCTCTTTTCTGTATCTCCTGCTCATCGCTGGTGTTGTAAGCTATCCCTTCATTAAAATTTGCTGTTTCATATTAAGCTAGCCTGATTTTTACACCGCTTACAAACATTGATCTAGACCGATTCATTCCAACTGTTGACACTTTACTCTCCAGAGAAACAGAATGAGAGCTAAGGGAAACGAGAGAAAAGTAGTGACAATGGAAATTAAGGTCTCATTTCCACCAAGATTTTTAATTAAAACATTGCGTATTCTCAGAAAATACATTTTCTAGAATCAAGATTAGGTATACTTGGAAAAAGTAGCTTACCAACTTAAAGTGAACAACAGCGGCATCCCATTTAGAACTCAGAAGCTAAAAACTTGATCCAAGACTAATCAAATAAACCTGAAGGAATTCAACATCATTCTTTTTCTTTCTTTTTTTTTTTTGTTTTTTTTTTGTTTTTTTTTTTTTGGTTTTTTGAGACAGGGTTTCTTTGTAGCTTTGGAACCTGTCCTGGCTCTTGTAGACCAGGCTGGCCTGGAAGTCACAGAGATTCTCCTGCCTCTGCCTCCCAAATTCTGGGATTAAAGGCATGCACCACCACTGCCCGGCTCAACATCATTCTAAAAAAAGAAAAAAAAAATATCAGATGCTAGATGAGATGGCAAATGTTTATAACGCAAAACCTCAAATGGCTGAAGCAGGAAACTACAATGAATTCCAGATCAACCAGCACTACATAGCAAGAACCTGTCTTTTCTTTCTTTCTTTTTTTTTTTTAAGACAAAACAAAACCCTGTATAGCGGAATAGTGGAAAGCTAGAATACTTATTGGAGAAACCTAAAAGTGTTTCTCATTTTCCATGAGCCTGAAATAGGCAGCTGTAGTGTGCTGGTGTTTTGTCCCATCAGCTACTTGAGATCTGCCTAAGGGGTCAGAAAGACTTGGCTGTCGTTAAAAGTGAAGGGGGCAGATCAGAGAACTTTATACTGGTTGGGATACGCCAAAAAGTTCACATTATACCAGTACCCTTTACTTGTGGGATAGATCCCTTCTCCAATTGCCTCTGCCCTTGCTCTTTTAGTTGTAAATCATTTCCTTTCTATCCTTCTAGACTGCTTCTGATTTATAAAAGATACCTATTAAAATCTACCTCACAGATTTGTGTAAAGATTAAATGGGTTCATATACTATAAGCATGTATATATAGATGGGTGTCTGACATGTTAAACACTCAATAAATGTTAAAAATCATTTGATATATTTAAAAAGTATTAACAGGCAAATCTCTAGCACAGACTTGAATGACTTGAAAACATAGTCCAGTCTGACCCTGCCACCTCCTAAGTATTTCCACCCGAACGCAATTCATTGTGTGTTGAGTAGCTGTGCCTGCAAAGCTTAGAAAAGCGAGTGGCAAAAATGTATGCGTGTTTCCGTAATGAAATCGGTTTGGGTAGTTTTCTGGGGCAGGGTTTCGCTGTGTAGCCCTGACTGTCCTGAAATTCACTCTAGCTATACCAGGCTGGCTTTGCAATCAAGAGATCCGCCTGCCTCTGCTTCCCCAGAGCTGGGATTAAAGGCGTGCGCCACCACTGCCCCAAAACCCTTTTGAAACTAGCCTCTCTTACGCGAGACCTCAAGTAGACCAACCTGGCCAGAATTTGTTAACACATCACATGACCTTAAAATTCTAATCCTACTTCCACTTAAGATACTAACATAGATGTTTCCCATACACTAGGCCAGGTTTATATACTGATGGGAATTAAGCCCAGGTTTTTCTGCACCAGCTGAACTTGACATTTTCAGCCATAGTCTCTACTTCTAACAAATTAGGCCAGGAAACAATGCAGCCTCTTCCTTACGTCCAAAGTTCACGTCATTTTTAACCTGCAGTCTGTGGCTTCTCAGGACACAAAGTTGAGCCACTGGCACAGACAGTTCTTTGCGTTACCCTCGTATATTTATGCACTACATCTGGCACCAGAATCGCAGTCTGCGTAAAGGGTTCCAGAACCTTGCCCTAGAACTCATTCGTATTGGCAGCTCTAATACAGACAACTTAGTGGCTCTGAAAAGAGCCTTTGGTGGTGTTAATAGTCACTTGGAAAGTTTACTTGGCGCTGGTGTACTTGGTGACGGCCTTGGTGCCCTCGGACACGGCGTGCTTGGCCAGCTCCCCGGGCAGCAGCAGGCGCACGGCCGTCTGGATCTCCCGGGACGTGATGGTCGAGCGCTTGTTGTAATGCGCCAGGCGCGAAGCCTCGCCCGCGATGCGCTCGAAGATGTCGTTGACGAACGAGTTCATGATGCCCATGGCCTTGGAAGAGATGCCGGTGTCGGGGTGGACCTGCTTCAGCACCTTGTACACGTACACCGAGTAGCTCTCCTTGCGGCTGCGCTTGCGCTTCTTGCCGTCCTTCTTCTGGGCCTTGGCCACGGCCTTCTTGGAGCCCTTCTTCGGGGCGGGTACGGATTTCGCAGGATCAGGCATATTGACGCACTACAGGAATACTAATACTGAGCCTGCTGGCCTGTCCATTTTAAGAAGTGATTATTTAAATAAGGTTTAGAAAAACAGACTTCTGAGTGGGTGAAATTTCAATGATGTCATCTTGAGTAGTGCCCAATAGAAATACGCGATGGCAGAAACGTTTCCCATTGGTCTAAATAAAAAAAAAAAAGAAGACAGCCAATTGGAAGGGTTCTTTTTCGTTCCCAGAGAAAACTATAAAGCTCAAGCTCTTGCCACTTTCATCTACACAGCTGCTAAAGGCTACTATATTTGCGAGATGTCTGGACGCGGCAAACAGGGCGGCAAGGCTCGCGCCAAGGCCAAGACCCGCTCCTCCCGGGCCGGCCTGCAGTTCCCCGTGGGCCGCGTGCACCGCCTCCTCCGCAAGGGCAACTATTCGGAGCGGGTGGGCGCCGGCGCCCCGGTGTACCTGGCGGCCGTGCTGGAGTACCTGACGGCCGAGATCCTGGAGCTGGCTGGCAACGCGGCCCGCGACAACAAGAAGACGCGCATCATCCCGCGCCACCTGCAGCTGGCCATCCGCAACGACGAGGAGCTCAACAAGCTGCTGGGCCGCGTGACGATCGCGCAGGGCGGCGTCCTGCCCAACATCCAGGCGGTGCTGCTGCCCAAGAAGACCGAGAGCAGCCACAAGGCCAAGTGAGCAGATTTTGATAATTCCACCAAAGGCTCTTTTCAGAGCCACTCATATAGTCCGAAAAGCAGCTGCCGCATGGAAACCTAAAAACTCATTTTTAAAATAAATGAAGTATTTTTGTCTACCCAACAAAAGTACAGTTATCAGGGTCGTTTAGGGGCCAATTACAGATAAGTGTCACAACGTTTTTATATTCTGAGTCCGTTTGGATTTTGAGAAACCTGCCTAAATAACCTTCAATAAAGGGTAGCATTCTTAACTCATCCTCTACTACAGAACATAATTACGGTCTGCTAAATATTCTGGCAAACTCTTGGCCCGGCGTTAACGGTACGTTTTTGAGGATACCTCTGGTTAATACAGCCTAAGAAATACTCGTGGAAATTGCCTCCAGCTGGGGAAACGAAGGTACGGGATATCAGGTGGTAGATACTCCCGGAAGAAAATGCAGAACAGAATAAGGTGTATAGCAACTAGTATTATAGAGGTATTGTTTTATCAAAAAGAAGTCAAAAAGTAATTTATCACATAACGTGTACCAGATGAACTACTTCTGAAAAACCATAAAGCTTTGTTAGCTCAAATATCGAAGCTGCTTCCTAGCAGCAATATTCACAAGTGTAAGAAATTATGGTCCATTTTCAGTGTGAGATGCAGGAGCTAGCAGGCACAAACTTTTCTCTCAGAATTCTGAGAGATGGAGAGCTACAGGTGATCTGTTGCATTACTGAGCACAGAGAAGCGGGTAGCCTAAGTCACAAATTAATACATTAGGTAAAGCTCTGTGTCCTGAACCTATATAGGGTGGGGAGTTTGTTGTTTAACTACTATGATTGACTTACTTAAAGGGGCTATTACCAATAATTGGCCGGAGAGCGGTTGCCTGATCAGATGAGGTAAGAGGGAACATCTGAGGGTCACTTTGCCCCCTTCCCAGGGACTGAGTCAAAACACCAGGAACTGAGTCAACACCTGAGGGCTATCTTGCCCCCATTTAATACCTGAGTTCTATTTGGAGAACATTCACAAGGACTCAGGTAGATGATGGAAAGTTCCCAACGTTTCAGTATGTGCATGTGTAGTTTGTTAGGTTCCCATGGAGCGGGGAAAGCACTAAGGTACTGGGGCTGAGAGGGCTCAGCTTAAAGTTCTACACAACAAAGTATTCATGTTCAGTCCTTCACCTACTTTCTGTGTGCTCTTCTCACTAACTACCTGGTTTTATATGGATATGGACCCCCCAAAAAAAGTTCATGGTGTGCATGTGTATATGTGTGTGTGTGTGTATGTATGTATGTATGTGAAGTGGATGATAAAATTTAGATTAGTTTTTTTTTTTTTAATTCCCACAATAGTGCAAATCCTACTGCTCAGAGTAGTAGAAACTCAGGGATTCTTGCTCAGAGCCTATCTGGTAGTGAGGAGGATACAGTCCTCATTCTGACACAATTAACAGCTTAAAAAGCCAGATGAGCGATCAGCGTAAAATTACACATGCTCTGCTCAAAAAGTAGAGCTTAGTTATTAGTGTGTTTAAATAACGCAGATTCCCAGTTCAGTAAACTTGACCTCAGAGCCCACAAAGCTCAAGTAGTTAGTGTGACCTGGGAGTCCCTGCTGAGAAAGAATTCAGGATGTTGGGTGTGTTCAATAACCACAGCCCCTTGCAGCGAGAGAAGCCGGAAAAGGGGGTCCCGCAGCAACCCATGAAACAAAGGAAGGAAATTCTGCACCTTTCTGGGCTTGAGGAAAGAGGACTCTGCCTTTTTTGATCTTTGAGTTTATCAGGACCCTTCTGTGGGGCTGCAACAGGCTAGCTTCTCCGCTTTGAAAAGGTGCTGGATAGGACAGAAGATATGGCTGACCCTCCGCAAGGGATCTGACATTGCAGTCTCAGCTGGGGAAGAGGGGCGCTGCTATCTTACAGGCTTCAGAGGCTCAGACTGTGACTATTTGTATCACTCGCCCCTGTGTGGGTTCTGTTGGTATGTTATCATTTTCTATTCTAAAGATTTCCCTAGCCGGAATCAATACCGGTACATTCCCTAGTATTGAAGACAACAGAAAGCCAGCTGGTGTTGTTTTCCTTCTCTTTGATATAAAAAAGAACCTAAGGTACTTATCTAGATGACTCACCCTAGAAATTAAAATCTAGACTTTCTTTTTCTCAAGACAGGGTTTCTCTGTGTAAACAGCCCTGGCTGTCCTGGAACTAGCTCCTGTAAACCAGGCTGGCCTCAGACTCACAGAGATCCACCTGCCTCAGCTTCCCGAGTGCTGGGATTAAAGATGTGCACGACCACCACCCGGCAAGACCCTGAGTTTCTAGAACAGTACTTTCCCGTGGGACTTCTCCAGGCTGGGGATAGCAACCAAGATACCTTCGGCTCAGATAAGATGGGGAAACCTTTACCCTGTTACAATAACCTCAATGGTTCAATTGTGAGAAAGAAAAAGTAAATTTGATCAAGGACCTGATGTTAAGAAGACAGCAGCCAATATGACCAGATCTGAGATCTACAGTCTGCTAGATTAGAGTATGAAACACACCCGCTGGGCGTCATTGTAGCGCGCCACGGCGCCACCATGTTCTCAGGGTCTGGCACTAAGCCCGTAGCCGTTTTTTTCTATTGTCCCTAGTTGGTAAACAACTTCTGCTGGCCCAAGAGTAATTTGATTCCCACCTATCACTTGCTCACACGTCTTGCCCACACGATCGCCTCAGTGTGGTCTGAGCCAATCGAACAATGATACATCAAATTGAGCAATGACACGTCAGAGGCAGACCAGGCGCTGTATATATTCCCCGCACGGACAGGCTCGGGGTCTTTTTGCTTCTATCTAAACTTCAGTCTTCTGTGCTCCAATAAAGCGCGTTCCAAGAAGAATCCTGTTGTGGCGTCTTCTCTGCTGGCAGAGTCGCGCGCCGCACGTCATCATGAAGAATGTGTCAGCCTCACAACAGAGACAAACAGTCTAAGAGATGTTCATGTGTAAGATGCAAGCCACAGGGCTGGGAGTGTGGTTCAGCTGGTAGCGTGTCTTGTATGCGTGGGACCCTGAGTCCAGTCCCCAGCACTACAAAAAAGAAGTGCAACTCAGGAGCATTTAAAGAGATGACCAAGCACAGAGACAACCAAAATCCTTTAAATACATATAAATGGGAAGATTTTATTGTAGAGATTTACCACCATGCATTTTTTTTTACTATAAACATTATATATCACTCTAAACATTGTAGGTTCCAAAGCTGATGTTTGGATTTAGGAGTCGACAGTAACGGGCAATGCAAAGTTTCCTGGTGCGAATGTAAGCTATCACCTCAGTGTTCAAAGCCACCGCTGTCCTGAACCATCAACACTGCACTGTGCTTATCAATATTTTCTTTTTCTTCTGGGTTTTTTAAATTAAAAAAAAAATAAAAATGTGTTCTCTCTCAAAAGGGGTGGGGAAACTGGGTAAACTGGCCATTCTGCTTCTAGCTATCACAAGTAAAATACCCACATAGGTGCGTATAGGGAACTGAGAAACGGTGGAAAAATCTTTAGCTTTACTCCTGAGACAGATCTTAAGTAAGTGTCCCCAGGAGGATTTTATGAAGCCATTGGCCTTTAGAAATGATTTCTGTGTGCACAGAGTAGCTTCAGTGGGGTGGTGGCAGGCAGCAAAGGGAGAATCACCTATATTTAGGGCCATAGTGTGTACACCCTTAATCCCAGCTCTGGGAAGCAGAGGCAGGCAGATTCTATAAATTCGAGGTCAGCCTGGTCTACAACTCAAATTCCTGGAGAGCCAGCGCTGTTAACGGAGAGAAACCCTGTCTCAAAGGAAGGGGGGAAAAAAAGAAAAAAAGTTTAAAAAGCGCTTATGTGAGGAGGGGAACGGCAGGGTGGCAGGGTGTGTGGACAAACGGATGGGATGCCGTCTGGGCCACTGTGGGAAGGGACACGCGGATGGGGCCGGTCTGAAAGGAAAGAGTTGGGAGGTAACCGCAGGAAAGCAGATCCACAGCACTGTAAACTCCTCAGCGGCGCCTATCTCTCAGGTCTTGTGAATACAGGTGCCCTCAGTCTTCTCCACAAAAGAACATTCCAGGGAGCATCAGGTGTGGCCAGTGCTTATAATGCCAGCCCTTGGGAGACAGGATGACTGTTGCAAATTTGAAGCCAGTCAGGGCTCAAAGTTCCAGGCAAACCTGGACTTTCTAAAGACCCTGTCTCAAATTGACAGAGACGAGAAGAGAGGGTGGAAGGGAGAGGGGGGGGGCAGAAGGGAGGGAGGAAAGGAAATCAATCTCATTCTAATGCTAAGCTGCCTTCCTCTAAATTCGCCACCACCTTTGCTTGTGCATCAAAGGGACAGGGAAGGTGCAGTGAGGAGGTCTCTTGTTTGCTCAGATGCCCCATCACCACGTCCAAAGTTAGAGACTCTGACAGCATTCGGAAGGGGTTGTCGCGTTTCACCCACGTTTTTATTCATTTCTCCATGTCTTCCATCTAGTTTATTATAACCTGGGGAACAGGGAATTAGTCTGTTTTAACCTCGTGGGGCAAAGAACTAAACAAGAGGCGGGAGAAGCTCAGAAAGTTCCCAGCATCGTGAGAAAAAGCCAGGGTATCTTTGAAAGGTGGGGGCGGGGTAGGGGTATCTCAGGAGAGGGCACGTGGGAGCTCACTGCCTGCACTTCCTACAAAAATCTTCATCTGGGCCTGCTTTCTCTGCCAGATTAAAGCAGGAGAGCCAGTCAAAGCGGCCCACGCTTTAACCCTAGTACTCGGGCAGACAGATCTCCGAGTTTGAAGCCAGCTTTTATGGTAAAATAAATTTATGCTGTTTTGTTCATTGTTTTATCTCCAATACCTGGAAAAGTAAGGACTGAAGCCCAATGGAGAACAACGTTAGGGAACAGAAGAAAATGAGGAAACGTTAAAATATACAGAAACGTCCAATATTCCCTCTAGGGGGCGCAAGTCACCACGAAATAAAATTGTCAAGCATTTAAATTTGAAATTGTTTTTAAGTCTTACATTTACAAAAATATTTCTTAAATGCTGGAAATTCTCTTGGTATAAAGATGGAGACATGTGTGTGGTTTCTTTGGTGCAGGGTCAAGTAA